GCGCTGATTCAATGAAGCAGCGGTCTTCGGAGTGAGGTCTTTAGTTTCGGGTGTTGTCTTTAAGGGTGCTTCGGGGTCTGCGGCTAGTTAGTCAATTCACTATGTACAGATATCCGTGACATCTTAGGGCTTACATCTGAATGCAATATCCGTAGAGCTAAGCACCATCCGTGCGAAGGAACCAAGACTATTGAGACCGGAGGTAGCACCGTCAGGATCGTTTGGGCGCAACTGTTGACTTCGCGTAGGAACCCGAGGAAGCTTGAATTTGCTATGAAATCCAAATGAGTTAACTGCACTTCAAAGAATTCAAGTTTCCTTACAATTCTGTAAGCTGGTCTCCATCCAGCAACTGTTGAATATATTCTCGAGAGGTTTCTAAACGACTAGAATCATCCTGTCCAGATTGCATTTCCGTGTCAAGTTCACCCAGTGTTTTGCGGCCTTCTTGGAGGACATGGTTTATAGAAGTAGTATTTGAAGGTCGACCAACATCGGGACGTAGGATACAGTCTATGCATATAAGCTGTCAGTAAATTGAACAGAATTGAAGAGATAAAGAGAACAGACGAACCGAGACCAAAGACAGGCGCGCTGGACATGGATGAGTACTGCAGTGCTTCATCCACAGACAGCGGCCTTTGATTCTGAAACTGCATATTGGAGCCATATGGTGGCATCTGATCATGGCCGTTGATGACCACCTGGACGGCGGGTCGTCCATTCTGGTCCATGGTCGCGGTTAAGTCAAAAGAAGTAGGCGCGAGTCATAAGGTTGACATGCTCCTGGTAGAGACATGGCAAAGAAGGCAGGCGCCTTATGACATCCCTAGATCATTTAAGTAATGAAACAAACAAAATCTGAAAGAAAATGAACGGAGCTATGATCGAATGCGTTCATGAATTCCGTATGGGTGACGGCACCCCTACTGCCGCGTGTGACCGCCTATCTAGAGGCTCGTGCGTCAAAAAAAAGTTGCATAGATTATTCGCTGCATAAGACCCGATTCGTTGTCACTTTGCTTACACCCTTGATCTTCTGCAGCTTTCAGACCGTGAAGTTCATTTTACACATATCAACATGTCTGCCATCGGTTCCTTGATTTTCTGCACAGATTGCGGTAATCTCCTGCGAGAATCTACCGGCAATGCGAATGCGATTCTGCACTGTGATGTCTGCGGCACTCGGAATAAAGGTGGGTGAACAAAAACCCCTCTCATTTTTCCCAGCGCTGCTAGATAATTCATTGCTAACTTCTATTTGCAGATACAATCCCCGTAACAACCGTGTCTGAGTCCAAGCCCTCCGCATTTCCCTCGGCACTGAGAGCCAAACGATCAGCAGTCCAGACCCTGTCAGCAGAGGATCGGAAGACTGAGGCTATCATTGATCGTACATGTAACGAGTGCGGGAGAAAGGAGATGTTCTACACTACAGTACAACTGCGCAGTGCCGATGAAGGAAGTACTGTGTTCTACAGATGTGTCTGCGGATTCAAGTATGCCCACCTCGCTTCGAAAGCATATATCTATGCATATCCGCACGTCCAGAAAATACTGACTATTTTGACAGGGAAACCTCCAACAATTAATCTTGAAAACACGGATTGTACAAAAGATGTGGGGAAAAGTCTATTTTTGGAGAAAGGCTGTATAACTAGCGGGACAAGAGTATTAAAATCACGACCGTCACGAGACAATTTTCTTTTTTTGCAGGATATCCATCATGCAGCAATGGGTGCAGCGCTATCCGGGATCAGCGCGTATTGGGTTTCGCCATTCTTCTCGAACTCTGCCATATCAAGAGCAACAATGACACTGTCCCTAACAACCTGATCGGGATCATTCAAGAATTTCTTCAGGGTCTCCTCCACACCCTCCTCGTCTCCCAGGCTGCCAAGGGCCTCCGCCGCTTCGTGTCGCACCATTCCTACTTCCGACAGATCACTCAGCGAGGCTGTGAGACTGGGGATCGAGGCAGGGTGGCAGAGTTGTCCGAACACAAAGGCAACCTCATGACGGAAGAGAGCAGAGGGGTCCTTGAGGCCCTTAGCGAGCGCATTGACAGCGTCGACTGCTGTGGGAAGATCTGGGGGCGAGGCAAGGTCGCGCAGACCGAACATCGCACGGTATCTTTGGAACAGAGGGAGCTTTGTGTCAAGTAGTGTCTTTTCCAGGTCAGGGATGCAGGGTTCGGCGCTGGCCTCTAGGGGCATGGGTGGAGCAGGGTCGATAGAAGTGAAATCACTGTAAATCAAAGATCTCAATGTCAGCATTTCTCTTCGTGGTATTTAATCTCCGGTGTAGATCGTACCTAGGCTTCAATTTCTCGGCCTTGCGCTCTTCTGAGTTCTCCCACAGGATTCGATCGACAGCAATGTCGCAAGTCTCGCGAATGATATCCAGTTCATTTGTATCATCCCTCAATCTCTTAAGGATGTCCAAGCTATCCGCGTATCCAAGGGCGCCCAGCGCCTCGGCAGCCTCATGGCGACACATCGCATCCTCCTCGGCATCCTTCACCACATGCTGCAGGTATGCGACAGATTCGAAGTTTTTGGTTTGGCCGAGGCAGTAGGCAAGCTCATGCTTGAGCAGAGCCGAGGGCGACGCGAAACCCGCGGCAATCGCTTCGATGGCGGGGAGGGTCTGGTCTGTGGTAGGCTGTAGGCAGGCCAAGTGCTTAAGGGAGAAAAGAGCGCGGAAGCGGCGAGCAAGCGGCTCAGATTCGGAAACCAGCACCTTGCGGAGAGTGGGAACGGTATTATCTGTTTCAGAAGCCATTTTGAGGGGTGTAGCCAAAGGAGGAGTATAAAGGTGGAAAAGAAAAGTTGTTAATCTTTTTGATCTTATCAATTTTTAGAGTGGGGGGTGGCGGGGCCCATTCTGGCTTTAGCTGCGCATGGGTTTTTGCTCGTACGTTATTGTCTTCAATGCTTCCGGCGTAAGCCCAAGACATAATTTATTTGGTAATTGCACATATGCAGATTTAAATACCCTTATGGTTTACAATCGTGTATTACTGTAGGTTTAAGGGTCGAGTATGCGGGGCCCTCTAGGTGGGAGCGCTGATCTCGAAAGATATATATAGTTTTTTTTTCTACTTGTCCCTGATTATACATAGAAAAGTCTCTTGCACAAAGTATGCTTTTTTTTTACCACCTTCGCAATTGTCTCTAAAGACATTTAAAAAGACATATAAATAGACCAGTTGAAAAGACATTACAAGGCCACAAATGCGGCCAACTATTCTTGTGTGTTTTAGTGAGACCTTCAGGGTTTGAAACAAGAATCGACCCAATAATCAACTAAATGTCCTCACCTGTGATTGCTATACACATATCGCAAGACATTTAGATGCCCCCAAAAGATACAGTTATTATTGAAATATGTAGAAACTTGAATGGATTAGTTCGAAGCACCACGGAACTGATGTAAGCCCTTACTTTATGGTCTTTAGGACATTCTGGCTTATAGAATTATGCTCATGCAACGAACCCAGTCGTTGCATGGTACTATAGAAACTACGTTGGGATCTGAGCGCAGCTGTTTTGAAAATATCGGACAGTTGGAACTAAAAGTATTGGTTGACAGACTTTCCTAGGAAATTCTCTTCAATACCTTAATCACATCAAATGCGAGCACATTCATTTTAATATGAGATTTACAAACGCGACACGAGGGATATACATTTGCAGACATGCTTTTTTTTATAGAAAAAAGCATGTCAACACACAGAAGCAGAATCGGCATCGTTCCCTTCCTGTTGTTCCCAGTAGTTGATGGGAGTTGAATGGTAGTTGTTAGCCCTAAATCAGGAAGTTTAGAGATGATCTATATTGAAATGCGATATATAAAAGTGCTTGAAATTGAGTTCGAGTGGTAAACTGGGAAATATGTACATAATACGGCGCGAAGTCAAATCATTTGGTCTTAATGTGTCTGATCTTCTTGGGCTCGTGAACGAAGTTGTTGGCATAGGACTTGGGCACGAAGCGGCGCTCATTCGGCTCCTGGACAAAGTATTCGTAGCCCTGCTTCTGGGCAAAGGCGATTGCGTCTTCCTTGGTCTTGAACTTCAGGTTGGTGCCCTGCATGCTGTCGGCGGACGATTGCCAGCCCATGAGCGAGTTCTCCCAACGGTGACCCCGCTGCAAGATGTCCCAATCCATGCGCCAGTGGTGCTGGTGCCAGGTACCGGACTGTGTGGCGGCCTTGGTAGGGCGGTAGATGCTGCGGGAGTCATGTGTTAGTGTGTGGGAGCTAGGCGATACGGCTTGAAATTTGTATAACCTACCGGACATTGCGGGCCTGGAGATCGGTAGGAGCTCCAGAGAGAACGGCCGCGGGCAGAGTGTTGCCGGGCTCGCTACCATCCATGACGCGCTTGGGCACCGGGGAAAATTGCCTTAATTGAAGTCAAAGAGTTAGTGAAAGGATCTGCGACGGAACCAAAGGGGGATGTCGTACGAGGTGCCGTGGTCAATGGTAGCCTCATAATCCGGCTGGTGACGGGTCATGGCCTCGGAGGGAGTCTCCTTGGTGATCAAGGAGCTGTCCTTGGGAGGCGTGGTGGGAGCATCCGCGGTGGTGGTCTTCAGGGAAGGAACGCCCTTGGGGGCATTGACAGAGACGAAACGGGCATTGACAGGCGCAGAAAGTCGGCTGACCCGAAGGCTAGCAGCACCCCCGATTCTGAACAGTGACATTGTGTCTTTTTGGATGCAGGGTATGGTCGTTGCCAGTGAGGACTACCTTCAAGTGTGGTTTGGTTGCGAATTACAGGCAGGTCACGACACCACCGAATCGGGTTTAGCCGGGCTTGGCAAGCCGAACACCCGCAGGGCTCGGTTTGTTCCTCCTTCCTCCTCCATCAGCTTTCTTTGGTTCACTTGCGTCGCGAATCAACGTAAGTCCACGTCTCTACCACCTTGCGAATGCTCATTGAGAGCCGCTCTATTTAGTGCGACCAATTTCTGACCCCATTCAGCCTAGACAAGATGAGCTACATTGCCCGCCGAGGTCTCTCGACCTTGATCCCCCCCAAGGTAAGAGCACCCCAATTCATGACTATTTGTAGTCATTAGACTCCTCGAATGATGCTAATTGTAACTCCAGGTCGCCTCCCCTAACGTGAGTTACCCGCGCGCTACCATCTTCGACTTCGTGCATCCCTTCCACACCCGTCCCGCCCCGAAGCCGTTTTTCGTGAATCCCGCGATTTGATTAAAATGCCGTCTTTCTTTCGCCTTCATAACTGACATATTCTCAATCAAGGCCATTGGTGCCGCCCAGGATGCCGCCCGCATGGAGCGTGTTGTGACCTTCTACGCTGGCCTTCCCCGTGGCCCTGCCGCTGCTGTCAAGCCTACCGGCCTCATCGGTCGCTACCAGGCCCGCTACTTCAACGGCAAGAACGCCTCCGGTGTTCGTACGTATTCCTCATTCATCTCCTTGTATTGACACAAGTACTGATTTTGATGTAGCCTTCATCCACGCTATTGCCGGTATCCTGATCCTGGGTTACAGCATGGAGTACTACTTCCACCTGCGTATGTGTTTCCCGACTATTCAACTGCTTAAATATCCTTTTTATATTTGAGATATCACTGACTTTATTTTTTTTGACCAGGTCACCACAAGAACCACCCCCACTAAGCTTTCCCTTTTCATCGAATAGGTGGAGGATTGATGTATATACTGGATCCTCTGGCCTAGTGCAAGGGAAAACTGTGGTTTTAGCGAGAACTTTAGAATCTCACTGTGTTTCAATATTTAGATTTACTATCCTTTGTCATTCTGTCGTAGTTGCAGTAGATTTTAGAAGTATACATATTCCATAGAAGCTTTGAGTGACGGGCTCTTTCCATAGTTTTTCATCACATACAAACTTCACACCAGATATCAAGAAATCTTCGGAAAATTTACCATTTACAAGCAACGGCAACAACTTAACAAAATCACCGTTTAAACTGAACAAAACATCAGAAAACCAGACGTTCCATTTGAAAGAGAACTTAAGGTGTGTGGGCAGACAGGCCTCACAACTTTCGTACGGGCCACGCTAAACCGAAAACAGCGACCCTCAGCTTCAACCCGAGTTGACTCTTGAATCTCGTATCATCCTCCCTATCTTTGTATCATCAACCGTCCTTACGCATACCCCCCCCCTCTTTGCCCTAATCCCCTTCTGGGACCTCTTGGGCTGCGGATATCCCAAGACACACGCGCCTATCGATTCCGCGATCGTGCTCTCCACATCGAGCCCAACCCGACACGGGCTTTCTCATCAACATCCGAGAGAGTTGGCCGATACCATCCCTGGTTGTGATATCCCATACATTCAGGGTGCAACTAGTCAAGGAACCAGTGCAACTGTGGCGATCCTTGGTATCTGACGATAGGTATGTCTTCTTGGGAATCTGGCATGTTCGATCTGCAACTGCCTATTACATCCCCGGATCTTTCTCCCCACTGTCAGGGCACTTGGCTTACATGGTCGCAATTATGGTATGGAACAGAATCGAGTATTGTTATGGCAGAGCAGAGCAACCGCGATGTGGTAGATCAGACCCTGTCGGGCGGCGAGCCTTCGCCTTCCGACGTTCCTGCGAGCACCAACGACAATCTATCTGCTGGAGGGGACGCAGGGAAGACCGAGCATATCGCAATGACTACCGCTATATCGAACAACTCAAACTTGAATGATCAGCAAAACCATGAGAAAACGAACACTCTTGATTCGCGGGGAGAAAAAGCCGCCGGTGACAAGGACGCTGGAGGCTCGACAACGGTGAGCATCGCTTCTGGATGCGCCCCAAAGCACTTGCTAATATAGGCGCAGGATACTTCTAAGCAGGGCGCCGGGGTTGTGGCGACCCGAGTTCTTGAACTTAATGGACTGGCCTCGGCATCGGACGGCGGAGAAGATACAGCTTCACAAGGTGGTTCAGAATCGGATGCGAGTCGGTCAGATGGCAGGAACCAAACACACAGTGGCTCAGTAAAAAAACCAGCAGGATTTAAGCCGGTTTCATTTGCCAAGTTTTCGGTGAACAAGGTCCCGGGGGTTCCAGCACCACCTAAGGTGCCTGAAAAAGGTATGTTTTTTGGCGAACTTTTCTTATAGTTGGTTCTAACTTGTTCAGCGCCAACCTCTACAACACCACTTGGTACTCCACAGCCAAGCTCCCGACCCCGCTTGGTTGCGAAGACTACACTCGGCATGCGTGATTCGTTTTCGAAGACTGGAGCAGGCGGAGGCAAGCCTGGTGGATCAGGGCCTGATCCAAATCAAGTGTGGAATAAGAACAGACGTATGTATTGGTCATACTCGGCAGTGGGATCACGGAAACTGACATTGATATCTGTATAGCTGTTGTGCCCGCTCCCCCGAAACACTTGACTGATGAAGAACTGAAACAACAATACGGAATTCATATGACTTCTCGTATTCAAGAAGATGGGGCTGTTAGCTCCGAAGCAAAGTGGGCGGATATTGATGACGATGAAGATGATTGGGCCCCTGAGACGATTGAGTGGACAGATGGAACTAAGGTCAATCTTACTCAACCTCACATTGAACCCCCACCGGCTCCTAGTCATCGGGAGCCCAAAGAGAAAGAGCTACCGCCCGTAGAGCCAAGCATCGTGAAGGAGCCCGTCAAGGTTGCACCGAGGCCAGCTGTATCAATGGGATCCCGTGCTATGGTACTCAAAGTTGGAGCGAACGCTGAACGGCAAGCCAGAACTGCGGGTGCTTCTTCCAACGGTACAAATGACAAAGTTCCATCTAGCTCCACAAGCCCAGCACCGCCATCCAAGTCTCCTTGGGCCCCTTTGCCTCCCGTTGAACGAGTATCTCCAGTCAATGCCCCGGCTCAGCCCCATCAACAGCGCATGCCCGTGAGATACCCCCAGAGAGATGACGGCCATCATGCCCCAATGGCACCACCCAAGGAGATTGCAGCGGATGATTTCAACCGTGCATGGAAAGACCAGTCAGATTTGCCTCAGCTTTTCAATCCTCGATCTTCCCAGTACGAGCCAGTGGCAGAAACCAGGAGAGGATCTTGGCGTCATGACCAACACCCCCGTGCTCTTGCAGTCTTGCAGAGGCCAAATGATCACCCAAGTGGACCGGCAGAGCCATCTGCTGCATTCCAGACGCACAGGTCTAGCCATCAGGATGGCATGGGCTGGGGTGGCCGTCGTCGCACATCATCAAACGTGAGCGGAGGAAGCGGAGGATTTGCCCGTAGGATGTCAGTTGGCCGGTTTGATGCCCCTCCGAGATATAATGATGCTCGAAGAGGTTCTCAAGTGAACGGTCTGGGTGATTCAGCAATAGTGGGCCACGAGCAACACCATGGCAAAGATGAAATTCTTCCGTCTGGTCCAAATGGTACAACACGTCCAGCTGTTGATGTAGGTATGTCTCCTGTGGAAACACAGGCAGAGGTTCCTCAAGTTCCTCAAGTTCCTCAAGTTCAGCAAGAATCTCAGGAGGACCCTGTTGCTCTGCAAGAGCGTATTATGAAGGAGAAACGTCTAGAGGCGAGGCAACGAAGAATTGAGCAAGAGGAGAAAGAGGAAGCGGCTAAAAAGGAGAGGATTAGACAACGTCTCGCGGCCATGGGTCCTGCGCCAGAGAAGAAAGCTCCCGAAACGCGCAACCCCCCCTCATCTCTTCAACCTCAACCTCAACCTCACTCCCACCCTCTTCATCCTCCCCAAACCCCTTCTCAACTTCCTATTCAACCTATCCACTCTATTTCTTCACCACCCAAACCTCCTGTTCCAGAACCCAACCGGGAACCAAAACAGTATGGTATGATGAAAGTGCATCATCCAGACTCTGTCAAGAAACTCGTTGGTGCACATGACCGGACATCTGAGGCCAAACATCTCAACCGACGTGTCTCATCACCCCACCAAGAAACTCATCGTGACTCTGCACCTGCATCTGCTTCACATTTCAAAACCGAACCTCACTCACCCGCCCAGAGCAAGGCATCTGATCAAAAGCTCGACGAGCACGGTACTCAGTGGCAAGGCAATTTAACTTCTACTTCACCGTGGTCCCATCCCAATATTGCTGTGCCATCTACATCGGCCAAAAACCTGTGGAAACCATTTGGCAGTGACCGCACTCCAACTCTCGGTAACGGCATCTTTGACCAACCTCTGGGGACTTTTGCATCACGCGAAAACCCTCTAGGCCAACTCGGCTTGGATCCGTCAAATATGCCTACCCCTCCCAAGTTCTCTGCTCCTAAGGAGCCAACTGATTCTTTGCCGTCACCTGAGGCACGTCACCCCTCATTTGAACCCCTCAATCCAATTGGACGCCCCAGCCCAATCGGACCGCCGATCACACGAAATGCTCGTGCAGTTAGCGACTGGAATAACTTCCACGAGAACGCTTTGGAGAAGGAATCTCAGAACGCCAAGGAGTTCTTGAAGCGACTCAATGACAGACAGAAGGGAGCCCCAGCTCCGCCACCTGCCCCCGTGGTTTTCACTGAGACCTGGAAGAAGACCCGTGCCACTGAAGATGGCAGACGAGTCGTCACCCGGGTCACAGAAAGGGTCATCAACAACGAGGAAGATATCGCCAAGGCCAAGGCGGCCGCCAACCAGCCATCCAACCCCCTTACCAGTTTTGATACTCCTATGGATGGCCTCAACGTGTCTGACATGGGTGTTCGTCCAGCCGGCAATGTTTCCACCCGGAGCTCCCGATTCTTCCCCTCGGCATCTGAACAGTCAAAGCGCCAGGTCGTCGAGAAGGAGCGCGGCAGTCCATCGCCTCCCCCCCCCGAGGAAGTCAGCCACCCTGTCTATTATGGAGTCGAGGAGCGGCCGCACGTTAATATCCCGGCCCCTAAGCCTCCCAAGCCCGTTGTTAAGCTTCCTCCCAAGGCCATTGGTCCCCCGGCGCCCCCGCCAACATTTGCTTCTATGGCAGCTGCGCCACCGCGTAACGTGGTGCCTCCTTCTTCCACTGCACTGTCGTGGCAGGACAAGATCAACGGCCTCTTCGGTAAGACCACTCCTACGCAGAAGAAGAGTGTCTTAGCTGTGACATCGGCAACCAAGGAGCCTCTTCCTGTTCATGCTACTGCCGTATCTGTCTCAATTCCTCAGACCAAGATTGGTTCACAGGCTGGCGATGGTGATTTCGCCGTTCGACAAGTCAATGAACAGGATGAGATGTTTGAAGACCGCGAACCTGGCTCTCTGCCTGCTGTTCGTGTGCCGAATATGGCGCCCCAGAATTCTTGGAGCGCAACTCGTCCATCAGAGCGATCCCGTGGGAAGAACTTCAAGCCAGTGCAATCGCAGAGCATTCAGCCGTTCCTGGTTGGATATAATGACCGAGATAATCATGGGAACACCCGCGCTTCGGTTTTCCTTCCAGGCGGTTCTGAACCCAAAACTGTTCTTATCCAACGCAAGGGTGGTCCGCCTCGAGGCCGCAATACTAATACCAATGTTCGACCTCGTAAGGGAATCAACAACAAGCCTGGTGAAGTTTCTGGTGGTGGCAACAAGAAGCCTACCTCTAACACCGTCCCACGACAGCAACCCCGTCAGCGGACCGGCTGGAGCCCAGAACCCCCCACTTCTCGTTAAGAAGTTTCGGTCTTGCAAGCATATGGTTTATCTTAAAGCGTTTTCGGTATCTTCTTTCTGGTTCATCTTGTTTCGGAAGCGAGAACTTTGGGGCATTCTCGCCAACTCCTAATCAACATTTGTTTTCGACTCTTGTTGCCATTGCCCACTCTGTTGCTCTTTTCTAGAGCTGGGCCCACAATTCAGATCCTTCCTCTACCCCCTTCACGCATTTTGCGTTTCTCATGTACTTGCGATTTTCGATTTCTCACCCATTGTGTCCCCTCCCCCGACCCATTCAGGACTACGGCCTTTCTTTTGGCTTTCTTTGTGTGGATGACCATCGTCTGCCGATTCAATGTCCTGTTTGCGCGATCATTGCCCGAGTGGTGCATGCTTGTTCCGACCTAGCAGTATCACATTGCCTCATGTTGACGAGTATTCAGCAAATTCGCACCGATACTTACCAAGAGAATTCTATTGTTACACAATTACATGTTCTTTGTCTACTGTAAACGTAACCTCTGGCTGACAAGATAAGTAAACAAGGCTGCCTTGCTGGTGTACCTTCATCTCTTAAAAGATGTATTCCCCATCGATCTGTTACTTTCACAGGGTGCTCAATCTCAACTAAATACACACAGGAAGCGACAGCGTTGTCCCTATCATACTCTCATCCGCCAACTCTCCCGTCAGACTTCGCGTCGAACTTCAACTATCCTGCTGTCTAACATGGTATCGCGATCTGAGCACTAGGATTTATTCCAGCGAAACTCCCCAACTGAAGGCGATGGGCCAAGACCACGACCAAGAGCTCAACGGATGCTTTGTTTAGGCCATGGGCTAAATGTATATTGCAGATTACAGGGAAAGAAACACGCACTCGAGACCTTCGAGAACGTGCGACCTGACCATGGCCCAGAACCTACGTTTCAGTCGTTCTGTTAACCTCCCGATCCATACTACCGTACTGCCATGCCCATCAAGTCACCGGAATCCTGACCTGTACCACGCCCTTCGCCGATTTCTTCAAGCAAATCCACCGAACTCGAAAGACAGAACGTCGTCTCTTTGGGCGTTGGAGGGAAAGTCTCCTGCTTGAGCTAAGATGGGATACTCGGCCTTGTTACGGGACTACCGTGGGGCATTGCGGTGGTGATATGGGGTGTCACATGCTTTACACCTGGGCTAAGCGTGGAAATATGGGATCATTTGGTTGTAGGGGGTTGGTCTCAAGCGTTCCAAGTTTGATTGGGCTGTTTTATATGGCTTGGATCGGATACTCAAAGTGCCGTTAAGACGAGTTTGGAGACCAGGGAGCTGTTTTTATTTTGTGGGAATGTAAGTAGAGGGTTTGTACGCATTGTTAGTTTATATTAGGATGGCTTTACTTCCAAACATTGTCACATTGATGGAAGAGACAAAAAAGGTCTTCGTCTATGACGATTTGGTATTCCAAGTAATGAAAGGCTTTTAATTAAAAACAGTCCCAGGAACAAAAGTAGAAGGGAGTCAAAAATAATTTACACAAATGATAGGTATCAACCGAGGAAAGCCCTTGCAAGGCTCAAAAGATAAACGCCTTGTCCCTCGAATACGCCGCCCAGATCAACCATAATGTCAAAACAACCGAATCAACACAGACATGGTGGCATCTGTGATACCACAAGTCTGGGAATGACCATAGTTTCGACATCCATAACGCCCCAAAGCCAAGCTCAAACACCCATTAGATAACCACGCATATTTAAAACAGCTCGCAGGAAATTGAACAAAACGAAAGTGAGCAGAAGACCTCCTATCACCAGTTCCAGGTCCGGCTGGAAGCAGCGAAGACAGGAGGCTTCCACTGGAGACGGGCAGGATCGATTTTGCGCGCGCCCTTGATCTCCTCTTTCTTGAGACGCTTCTCGTGCTCCTCCACGACGTGGTCCGTGAGTACAATGACCCAATTACCCTTCTACAAAGAGAGTTAGTAAACCACATCGTATCGTGTGTGCAGTGTACACTTGGAACATCAGACTTACGTGGTATCGGAGCATGTTGAATACAACCAGAGTCTCGTGGACGTCCTTCTCAGTCATGGAAGTAAGCACCGCGAGCTCGTTCTCACTTATAGCTTCTCGGTTTGGCTCGATCAGTAAATCTACCAGCGTCTCACGCCAGTACTGTCGATAACCAAGTAAACCGAGATCACTAAGTGGCTTCTCGGGAGAGCCGAGCTTGCCTTCGCGCTTGCTGAGCTCGTAACTGAACGAGATGAGCAGACGACCGAAGCCGCGGCGCTGATATTGCGGTAAAGTCATAATACACGCCAGGTTATAACCTTCAGCAGAGTCCTTCTCCTTGGAGAAGTAGCCGACGAAATGGCAGCCGGTCTCGTCGCGCGTGGTCATGCAGTAGAATAGGAACGGGTCGACGTCGTAGTAAAGCGTCTTGTGGTCGAGGAAGAGCTTACTCAGGAGACATAGGTTCCGGCACCAGGTACGTTGGCGACGACCGTCGACTTCAAAAAAGGAGATGTAGTCGTCACGGTAGATCTCGTTACCGGGTGGGTGGGTCAATGTGCATTTTGCGCGATGGCGCTCGAAGGCACGCTTGTTATCGAAGTAGCTGAGGCAGAACTCGTCGATATAGACTAGGTCGACGTCCGAGAAGGAATCTGGGTACGGTGAGAAGTACCATGGCTCGACGTCGTACTTGCCCATCTGGAGACGGGTCAAGTTTCGCACGCGATGGATCTCCGTCGGGTTCTGTGTCATACTACCACCTGTGCGGAGTCGTTCAATTTCCTCACCGCGTGTAATCACCTCGCCCGTTGCTGTTTGGACTTGATCTTCTTTTACCGATTTGCTTTCCGCTGCAGCATCTGCCATCTCGAAGTCTTCTGACTCGGTGGCCTTCGGCGTGCCGACTGTTGACACAGCCTCAGATGGGAACAGCGAGGTGTCTCCTCCCGGTGTATCGGCACCGAGGTTTTCTTTCCCTCCAGCCTTCGAGGGCCGTGATGCCTTGCCGATATTCAGATTCTTGCCGCCCAGTATATCGGGTGTTTGTGATAGATCGCGGCTATCGGCCCGGGCACGCTTATTCGCGCTCACATTTTTGCTGGGCGCTGCTTTGCTGGCAGCAGCGGTCTTCTTCTTATCAGCCTTGTCTGGCTGGGGCCATTCAACTTCTTGAGAGAGATCGATGCGAGCAGCCGCAACCCATTCTGAAAAACCAGGTCAGAAGAAGTTCAACACGAACCAATGCACTTGTTAGAGTAGAACTTACCATCAAGACGCTTGTTGAAATCGACATAGTGTACGCTGGGATCTATATCAGTACCAATTTGGAAAGTACAGACGTCGAAATGGATATGGGCAAACATACTAAAAGGAAGGGCCATCCTTCCGCTGTCTTATGGACAGAATCTCGGCTTTTCGTAGTTCTCCATCCTACACAGAGTAGTCAGTATCAAAGCCCAAACTGGGGTTGACCACGCTGATTGATAATCACGTGACATGACTACCAAAATCTGCGACCACAGGGTTAAAACGAACCTTCTGCACCATGGCCTTTACACCGATTCTATGAGGCCAGTTAGCATTTGCGACCGATTAAAGTAGATATAAAAACCCCAAGGCTAATTATTCAGATATAAAAAACGACATACCTGATGGTGTTGAGGGTAGCGAACCCCTTGTCAACGGGGTCGGGCGTCCCCGTCGTCTCCCCGTGGGAATCTCGGACGCCCATCTTGTTGGACTAGCAGTAGGGACTGAAGCAATATCAGAGATGGGAATGATGGTATCGAGCAGATACTGTGGTCATTCGGTGATGGGGAAATGATGCGGGAAAGGGAGCAAACTGGGAGATTGTTATGTAAGCTATTCCGCATCGGGGTGCCCGAATCTATACAGGACTTTGATATACATTTTCGTGCTGAAGATTTAAGTATATTACAAGGAGGATAATTTTTTTTATTGTTTGAACCAAACCAAATGATAATCCCATAAACACCGTCTCCTGTTTTCGAGATTTGCATCCCCTTCCATGTTGCCATGCCATGATTTTGCAGACCAAATAAAAAGCCCAAGCCAACGCCACGCGCCTTGCAATGAATCAGAGACGAAGAGAAGCCGAGAAAGAAGTCACATATCTCAGCCAAAAGGCTATATATGTCTTTCTCATGACCCTTCGAACTTCCGCTTGACACCATTCGCATTCGCGGACGGTGGCATGGCCTGGGCTCTCCGTTTTTTCTCCTCGTCCCCGGCAGCCATGTTGTGCTGGCGCTGCTTCCAAGCTGTTTTGATGATGGGGGCAAGGCGGATGAGATCGTCTTCGGTGACACGGTCCTCGATACTTTCAAGAACCTTTTCAACAGTGGAGATGTGGTTTGCATCGTTCTTGTCATCACGAATACGATAGAAGCGCCAGCGTCCTTCCGTATCTTTAGCACACTCAACGATAGTATCATCAAGAGGAACGCGCAGGGCTTTGAGATCTTCCCATTCCTTCGGCTCAAGGAACATCTCTCCAAAAAGACGGTACTCGCCAGCACTCAGCATGACGAACAGGTGGCAGGTTGGGATAGTGTCGTAGTCCACGTAGGGCTGGGTGATGCCCTCGGCCTCATCCTCGGTATCTGGCTCGAGTATGGGAAACTCGAGGCGCATACGGAAATCAACAGTGTTCTCTTGGGGTGGCTTCCATTTGAGGATGTGCTCGTCGGTGCCGATGCGGTACGGAGTACTGCGGCAAGTAAAGATGAGACCGTCGTTACCGTGGATGCGCTTGACCTTGGGGATAATCTCGCGGAACATCATCTCGATACCGTAACTGAATTGTGTAGATTTATCCTCGACTGCAAAGGGGCGGTGGTTTTTCTCTTCCGGGAATTTGCGGTACATGGCATTGTATGGCCTGAGCACCTTTTCCTTGAAGTACGCCAACCGCTTGTCCAGGGTACGGTGCATCAAGCTTTGTCCATCCAGCACCAGACAATCGAAGACCAGATATTTCAGCTGGGTGGT